TATATATATATATACATATATATACGTGCACACACGGTCATACAGTATCGATTTCCAGTTTGATCAAAATCACCGAACCAGAATTACAATAGAGAGAGAGAGAGAGGAATTTTACTTTCACTTCGTCACGTGACAACGCAGACAGCCAAGAACGGCGCTACCGCCAACGAACAGCCCCCGATAGATGATGAAGGTATTTGGAAAACTAAATTCCCTAGAAAGATCCGATCGAGTTCATGACATCAGCTGTCGAGAAACACTGAAACGCGTAGGGTCGTCATGTTGTTTCGAATGTTGCTGATTTATAACGGAGGTTTTCAGCACATTTTTGGGGGCCACGTACGGGTTTGGACTATAACCAAGCGTGGTGAAATTAGTATAGGAAACCCGTGCAAAAGCCAAGCACAAACTGGGCCGATATATAAGTAGAAAACCTCCTGAAATGCCGCAAATATTTATTGGGTCCGTTTAGCCTCTAACACTGATATGATGCATCAGACTAACCGAAGTAAACTAAAGCACGGCAAGTGGGCGAGTAGAAAGACAAGCATGTAGATAAAATGCATGCTTTATGACAGCCACTTCTGCTCAAAACAGGCGCGTCTTTGTGATATGCTCGCCGGGATAACTCTAAACCTTCCATATTACACATCACACGGTACTCAATTTGTTCAATAAGATCCGAGCCGAGCTTGACGCGGAAATCCCAAGACAACACGGTTTGTTATAGCGTCCAGCAATTTCCCAGTCAACGAATGTTTCATACGATCAAACGTTCCTCAGATATGATAAGGCTCCAGAAATTCACTATAACCTGAAATGACCATGTCTGATCTACTCATAAGTAGTTCCGTCATATTTGTGATCATTCATTTCCTTTTTCCCGTGATCTACCAATGTTGTCCCGCCTATGGATGATCAGCGATTAGCATTCGAGCAAACTTTTAGGCATTTTTTGGTTTTGTTGTTACCCTATCCGTTATCTGCATGGGGGCCGTGGCCAAAACTGGAACTACAGACCCGGCAGACTACCTATCCTACTGGCGGAACGAACCAGTTCGAAATCGCTGAAAAGTCTTCTGAGTACGACGAGCACTCACGAGCACCGAAGAGACTTTCCTTTCCGATTCGAATATCGTTACTGCTTGGCTGAAAGTACTTCGTCACTACGGACCATTGCACAGTGGTTTATATCACATTTGATACAAAACAGAATGCAACTGTACGGAGGCCAGCCGTCCCTAGTAACCGAACATCACATTATTTGGACGGATGTGTCATGTGCAGGACACGGATCAAACGAAGGCATGCTCTGATTGGCCAGAATGCCAGCCAATCCGGAGCGAGCATCTTTGACTCGACGCTTCTCGTTCCCTCACGGCGATTCTAGCACGAAATTGTGGAACACTCTATCCTATAAATACAGATGTAATGATTCTCCTTTTGTCTCCACAAAGGGCTGTGTAGAGCTACCGTGTCTTTTTGATACACCGTAGTGGGCGGAGCAGGAAGCCGAGGGATTGATACAGAGTTGCACGATGGTCCACCAAGTCACAACAGCAACACAAATGGAAGACGGGGTAGCTAAACTTTGCCAATCGACTCATCAACCAACCTGAACAAATTGCGTAGTGAGCGCGAGTCAAGCGAATTGCCTAGGCAGACCCTCAAGCACTTTCAAAGCTACAAAATGGTTTACAAGTTGGACATCTCCAGAGCATCATTAACTAATACAGTTGGTCGTCAAGTCTGGAACCGAATAGTGTGCGTTCTGCTACCCACTTACAATGTCGAGCACCTCCGATTACGCGTAATCACTCAGATGCGATGTGTCTTTCGTTGGCCACGAACCCTATCCGCAAATCTAGCAATCAGGAGAGATGATCTCCATCCAGTTGTTGACCGTCAAACAGCACCAGCCACTCTTACCTTTCCGTAACTGCCGCGTCCGATTGTTTCCCCCAGAAGAAACCGCTTGGCCAGGATTTTTGGCGGTTTGCATCGCTGTACGTAGGAGATACACATGTCACTACCCAATTCTCCATGCATGTAACCAGTAATTCCTCCGGGTCTCATGGAAGGGGTGTTGGGGTCAGCATCCCAACTAGGATGATCCAAGGAAGGAGCCTGAGTGAAAGAATACAAGAGGAGGTTCAGACGACAAAAGTCGGAACAAGAGAGCATAATAGTAGTAAGATTATGCGATAGAAGGCACATCGACCATTGAAATACACGCTAAGCTGCAACCAAACCTCGCCATCTCGAGCTGGATCGAGTAGCCTGGTAGTACTTATATCCTTGGGCTTCCTTGGGGTGGCAAGGCAGCTATTCACCAGGTGTTGTGGCTGAACGATTACTATTACTGTTGCTATTTTATTCTAACATCCTCATTGCGTGTGGTAAGCCCAACCAGCAGCCGGAGTGAGGTGATGATGACGCACTTTATACTCATTTTACCATGGAGTGCATTACTGGTGTTGTCAGAACGTAGTAGCTAGTAAGTTCATCTTCAGCCGGTACATTGCTATTTTTGGACTCTCAAAATCCATCAAGTGATTCAGGTAATATGAGACCGGGGCGGTGAAACCATACAGTGCGTCTGTGTTACAAAGTAATTGGGGGTGCAGCTTAACCTTTGGAATGGGGTGATCCACGTGTTCCCGGACAGAAATGATTGAACACAGTATCTTGAACAATCACTGTGTGTCGTACATTTATTAAATTGTACTCCCGTCTTCAACTGATTGCTTGGTTTAGCCAAGAGATTTTGTACAGCTTGCAACAAAATATGCCCTGGACCAGTCGGCTGGATAGCCCTAATAGGAGATGGTCATTACTTTGGTAAACTGAAGAGTACCAAATATATGGGAAAATTCACTGTTTCCTTGAAGTACGCATGAAGATCGGTCGATATAAGCATTCGTAGTGCCATTGTACTGGTAAGCGACACCTGCGGTATTCTCTAGAGCAATATCGAAGGAAACAATATATCTTCGAAGATTTAAAGGGTTAGCAATACGACCGTAGTTGATGTCCTCTTAATAGTGGGTGTAGTTAGACAAATACAGAAAAGAGTGCTGTTCTCCGTGTCCTACTCAGAGTGGTGCAAGCACGGAGCTGATCGGGCCTTGATCTGGTAGGCGGGTACGCAGGCGATCATGAAGAGTCTGGGTACTGCCAGTGTGACTCACCTTCCAGGATGAGGTTCATGCGATCACCCGTGTGCACGGTTGTACACGCTGTAAGATATGGCTGTCAATGGTGTTCTTGTTGTCAGCATCTAGTCAGTTTGCTTGAATGAATGCTTGGATATGTAGGCACCTAGCAATGATTGTTGGACTAGCACCAATTCGCCTCGCCACCCACTTTATGCTTTTCTTCACAAAAGGCTTTCAAACAAATTATGACCGTACGGTAGCGAAGCGTCAGTATTGGAAAGTGACGTGCCGTTGATCATGAAATAATGATTGTTTTCTCGGGACTCACCGGTTGAGCCAGGCATTTTAGAATCAAACGATTACTGAATAAATGATGTGTGCTTACCACGGTCAAGCATCACGTGACGTTTAGCTTTTATGAAAGATCACCCCTGATTTGCACTTTCGAGCACCAGCAGATGATGAAAGCCAAGTTGTGGTACAAAGCTGCAGCGTGGCGTGTGTATTAGGGCGGAGACAGTTCAAAACTTAGATGTGAGAAACGGATACGCCAGAAACGAGTTCGATCCAAAATATTATCGGTGAAAGTACTTTAGAGGACAACCTCTGAGATACAGTACTCCGTTCTGCTGCGAACTTGAAAAAGCCTAGCAAAGTAGTTCGCATTGGGATCGTCGCACTGGAGAAGAAAAGAACCTAGGATTTGTTATTGCAACACAGACTACCAGGACAGTGTTGGAAGTCAACGTACAAGAAGTGTATCAAAGACTGGTAGACCTGAATAATTCCGCGATAAAAATTGAGAAGCAAGGGATTTGGAAGTCCTTCTTAAGCTCTTGATTTGCAATACTCGGTGAAGTCTACCAGATAGTTCGTTGTGGTTACACCCAAACAAGTTAGTAGAAGCCCCAACTGGTCAACATAAAAATTCATTACCGATAGCGACGATTCGCTCATCCATGCCTTGCCAAAGTTAAATTATTTCTGGATGTTGTGAGAGATCAACCCCGAGTTAATTGCAAGACCAACCATACACCATTAACTCTGATTAGGTTAACTTTTTTTCAAAGTGAATACAGAAGTCTCCTAATATGCCGCCGTCCACCCTCCGCGTCCGAGACTATTCACGCATTTTAACCTGAAATGCATCCGTTTTTGGAGGATGCCCCCCGATGCGTCACATCATCCACAAAGCCTCAAGTCTCCCTTGTGAACCCTTAGCAAACAATAGGTTGTGACAGAGAACTATGCTTTCTTTGGTGTGCGTACCCCAACCGCTTTAGCTTGACGAGTTTCGTCTGCTGCAACTGAACTCTGACCAAGTACACGCTAAGACAACATTTGGTTGCGTACACAATACAGCTAGTTCCCCAACCGCTTGACGAGCTCTGTCTGCTGCATCTGAACTCTGACCAAGTACACGCTAAGACAACATTTGGTTGCGTACACAATACAGCTAGTTGAGTCTTTCTAGGCTACGGATACGCCGGCCATCAAATTTTTGGAGATTTAGGTTCTTTGGATAGGGGCAGTTAAGTGCCGCAACCACACAGAAACCACACTCACAAGTAGTCTTATATGTATACATTATATACGTATATGTATATAACCTTTCAGATTCTGCAGAATTATTCTCCGACACCATAAATTATGTAAGTTGGTAAAAGTTGCTGGTGCGTTGAAAGTTCGTACACTGACTTTATCTGTCACTGTGCAATCGCAGCCTACGTGACTCTCAAGCTATGTTGATCCATCAGCAAACTCATTTCAAATCAGCACAAGAGGTCGGGAAACCTTGGTGTAAGAAGCATTTCAACCTACCGATGTTCTGTTTAGTGTGGGTTGTGTGGACACGGAATCGTTAGCTAGTAAAACAATGTCGTTTGCATAATCCAGGACCATTTCGATACCCATATTCACGGCCTCTTGAAGTGACGTCGACGACAAAATCGAGCGGAAAGAGGCGAGAGTGGAAGACACTGATGAACCTCACTCGTAATGAGGAAACTTTTAAACAGTTCATCCTGCATCCAAACGAGACCAGAATTATAGAGCATCAACGGTGTGAAGAATGTTTATGAACTTGAAGGGCACCCCTTCTGACCGGCTATATGAAAACGAGTCGATATGTCTAGAGTTCTTCTGAAGTCGAGGGAAACCGCGATTGTTCGTCGGCAGTATGTGACGCGGCCTACGTACTTGCCTGATAGGAACCCCGTTTGATAATGTATTTGGATTCTCCGTGCTGAAATTATCTACCACAATATAGGGGGCGAGGCGTGAGGCATATATGCCTGTGTTTTCGATTGCAAGAATCACAAATGGGTGGCCCCAATTCTATAGGACGCCCTTTTCTTTCCGAATAAGCTCAAACAACCTAAGTAAAAACAAAAAGACCCAGTATTATTCATGTCCACAAGATGAAAAGTTGTGCTGTAGATGATACAGTCCTTTAAAATGCCTTTGAGAATTCAAAGAGTGACACTGCAACTTGTAGAAGGCCACGTGTATCTCGGAGGTTGCATTAGCTTTGACAGTAGTGGGACGGACGAATTGAACGCAAAAACCTAAAAGGCTAACCGGTGTAACCTCCGATAATTGAACGGCTCTCAACACACTGATTGAGGCGATGTGTCCGTTGTACTGAACGAGTGCCGGACACGTACGCCTTCTGACGAGGTGGTTGTCGGAGTGGAGGCCATGATATACTCAGCCATCTACGGTGACTTGGGCATGTTTTCCGAATGGACGGGAACGGGATTCCGAAGTAGCCTCTGTAAGATCAGCTAAGGAGGAACCCTGGGAGACAAAAGCCTGGATATCTGGATAATTCGGTCGACATGAATTCATCATCATCGACAGCATGACATCAGTGTTCAACACCGATGCTTCACTGCCGTACAACGATGAATTTCATGAGTGGGAAACAGAAGATCAAAAGAGGACGATATTGGGGAAGAGATACAAACGGAGGTTCATCAATTCAGTGACCGCCAGCTGGGAACCAGAGAGCTGAAGAATGCCAAACGGAAGTGCATCGGCGGAGCTATTGCATATGGAGGTTGAACAAACTAGAACGGCAGCGACCATAGTCGTGCTTGTGCTGATCGCATTGGTTCGGTTGGTCACCAGCAAAAGCAGTGATGCGTCGGCGAAACATCGATGGATAAAATGAGTATACCAGATTCCTCTTGTTCCTTTTAGTTCACCGGATAGCAAAACCTGAAACGGTGCGAGAAGTGACCTGTACTGACCATCAACGTATGAACAGAATCACGCCGAAACATGGCTAACTCCACAACGCCATGTGGATGTATTCGGGGTTCGGTTTATTGGAAATACGTCATTCAGTCTATCCGACGTGGATACCATCGGGCTAGACTGCTCGCTTCCGTCAGCAAGCTACGGCTTCAATGCAGTGGACATTCCAGAGCACAACGGTGCCAGAAATAAATCGAAATAGCTCTGCGGTTAAAGGGAAAACTTGCTGACCGAACCCAACCTTTGTATCTCGACTGCTCTTGTTTAGTTTTGGGTAATCTAACTGTATCTCGGACCGTGTGCTTCCTTAGGGTAGCATGTTAGCTAGGCACCGAAAGGGTGTTAGGGCTGGACCATCATTCCACCATAATTATTATTAGAATTAGAAATAACTCTGTGACCATTGCTTTACGGACCTAGCTGAATGGTGACCAGCTAGCCCTTATGTCTACGATGCCCCTCCTAACTGGTGAGGCCCATTAGATGACCCTTTGAATCAATTGTGAGACCCAACTGTTCAGTTGTACCAACTTGAAATAAAAAAATAAGCCACCGACTTTAAAACCGTCCCCTCCTGTTGGTGATCGTTCAGCCGTAACACCCTTTTGGTACACACGTGCCATGTCATCCGAAGGAAGCACGAGGACTAAGATGCTGTTGGGTTGCTCCAGTCTAGACAGGGGTAACAGGTATGTCAAGGGTGGATTC